CAGGGGAACACACAAGGAGATTCAAAGACTCTGATTTGCATTTTAAAAGCCTGAAACAATTCCTCAGAACTACCACAGGGATTTATAACCTGAATTCTGACAGCAAATTGGGCAACTGCTTTTCTAGACAACTGTCAGACTTTCTTGTCAGGAAAGAAGGACTCATCCAGAAACCAATACTAGTTGTTTCTAWTCTTTTTCTTACATTTTCAAAGTTTCTGTCATAAAGCAATTTGTGAACACATAAAGCCAAAGTATACKCAAGGCCTTCCTCAAATGACTGAGCTAACCTTTTYATCACATTCATCTCTAGCAATCATAATAAGAAGTCACCAAGAAGTACAAACAAGTACTACTCTGGTACCCAGTCCAACACACACACGACCCATCCAAATACTCTCATACAACACAATTTAGTTCATTCATTATTCAAACTACTWTTATTTCTTCCACATTTGCAACATTATGTATCTCAAAARCCAGTAATGCTGATAGGATACCTTTTTGTTGAGTCAACAGCAATCTCAAATTKATMTCCAATGTAGGGGGATGGAAAATGATAACAAAACAAGGTTTGAAACCAACCCTCTAAGATGCTGATATGAACTCAACTACAGATTACAAACAWAAAATGTGTTTCCAGTATGTCATTTTAAGTGAGCAATTGGATAACAAATATAAAGTCTTGATGGACTCCTTAAATATAACTGAGGGAAGTTATCCAAATGAGGGTAACAAATCCATTGCAGGATTTATATTTGTTGACAAACACAAAAGGAAACTTTTGATCCTGCCAATGATCTAGTTCAAACCTGAACTCTTATTGAAAAAAAACAAGAACAAGGGTCGACAGAGATGGGTCGAGCTSGGAAGGCARATCACTTATGCTTCTTGGCCAGACAATGATCCTAGGCTTTGGCCCRCTGCATGATCATTTTTGTTACTAGTGATTCTTGTCGAGAAGATCAAATAATCGCCTCACTGACTCGGGTGTTTTACCTGTCAATTCCATTCCGAGGTACAATATTATACCCATCAATGCTCCAGGGAGCAAAATCAGAGTTGTCATCGAAGTACTCAAAAACTTTGCAAGCTTTCCMGAAGTATCGGGCAAATAAAAGATATATAACAATCGGTTTTGTAGTTGACTTAGCCCTCTCCATTTTACAAGAGAGGAAAAGGAAAAGACGAAAAGGACGTTGAAGATAGCTTCTTTCCTTTCCCATTTAGTCAAGGCTTGCACCGGATGCCGTTCCAAAAATTCTTGGTAGCATGGACGTAATCCCAGTTCTTTTGCACCTTCCTTCAGWATGGCCATGTATCGGGCGGAAGGTCTAGGGTCAAAGTTCAGTCGCACGTGGTCCCTAGCACGAAGGGCCACTGCCTTTACGGGACGTTTGGATCGTCCRTACGGATAGGCATCGACTATGATTTCTTCGTAGCCTTGATCGCTTCTTCCGAGCCCAACTCCCTCAGACCTCATTAGCTTTTCATAGTTGTCTGGAGTCAAATGCACAAGTGCTCCATGACATTCTTCGTGTTGATATTTTAGTAATGCTTCGGCACCAGAACTTGTTGGTTCTAGAGATCCCATACCTGGTTCTATGGGTGGAAATCCTCTCAAATTAAACGCCAATCGATATTCGGGGACGACCGCTGCCCTCATACTCTTTATTTCAATCTTGGTACCATTCAAGCCCCTATTTTCTAACTTTTTCCTGGACATGTTACTGCCAAGCCCAAAATAGTATATGGGGCGACCGCTAGCGAGGGAATCTGTCACCAGTTGCGGTCTCAAYGGTTTCTCTATTCKATTGAATTTGATTCTTTTGCAATCAGCACCCGTGAGAAAGACTATCGCAGTGAATATCTGCAACGCAATTGCACTACTCCGACTGAGAAATAAGCCGTTCTTCCTAGCTGACAAGCAAGAGTGCRAACCTCTCATGTCTGCGGTTTGTCTGGACTTCGTATCTGATCCACGGATGTGCAGTCAAAACTCGATGGTTGTATAATTTGTCTTCTCCCTCCAAATCGCTTGGTAACKTCGACACACTACTGATAGTTGGATGTGGTTATATGCAATGGCGTATTATCTCAGTCCAATCTTTTTATTGTTTCGAWGATTTTGAAGACGAGCATGAACCGTCGAAGTTCGTCGTCGTTGCAARCATTCCTTAGAATACTTTGATACCGTGCACGGTCTGATGATTTTTTCGGTCGTCAGCGTCATCGGCGTCATGGTTGTTTTCATACCGTATTACAGAATTATTTAGTACGAAGTAGTATTTTTATAATAGCCGTTTGATGACTGGATGACGACAGWGATATTGCGCGAATATTGTGCGTTTGAGAGAGATAGTTGATGTTCTGAAGGCATATGACACAAACCGTTAATTCTGGCAATTTACTAGTAATTTACTAGTGATAATTTACACGTAACACACCGCAGCGGTTTGGAAAAGATACAACAACATCGTTTCATGTTGAAACGACATCGTCATACGGTACAAGGTACGTTACAGTAATAGCAGAAGACAAAAATATCCAGGTTACAAAAATTGTATCGAAAGAACAGAACTAACATCACTATGTCGTCATTTACAAGAACCATTACCCACACAGCATCAGGAGCAAGCTGTCAGGTRCGAAAGGAAACAACTGCTACACCTCCGCGACCTCCAATTTTGTAATGCAGTAAATCGTTATTGACCATGTCGAATCTTGACAACTATCCGATRGCGAGAAAAGCTGACGCATATCGTTTTCTTTCGTCTACCTTTTTTTTGCCTTCGTTTACGTTCGAATAAACATGACATGTTTTTGCAAAAGGTCCACGATTTTGGTGCCTGTTTACTATCCTACAAGACGGGTGCCGGTAGAGAATGCGTATTTCTCTCTCGCGATGCGAAGCTTGATGGTTCTAAAGCAGTCCGTGGAGGTATCCCGTTGGTCTTCCCACAATTTGGCCAGCCAGACAAAAGCATGCCCCAGCATGGTTTCTTTCGAACTAATTTTTGGAAGGTAGACGAATCCTCTGTGTTCGACAACGAAGAGAGTGCTGGTATTACGTACACGTTGGAGTTGAAAGATGTTAARAACTCCAGGGGAGGACTCTGGGACGAGAACACTGAATTCGATTGTTCCTGTTCGTATCATGTAGAAATCACTGGTAAAACTTTTTCGACCAGAATCGAAATAAAGAACACGGGTGGCAAAGAAWTCCCATTCCAAACCCTTTTGCACACGTATTATTTGGTGGACGGAAAAGCTGCTCTGGATGGTTCCAATTGCTACGTGACGGGATTGGAAGGTATGTCATCATGCGYATGTTTCTCAAACACAATCACTCCTTGAATACKTCTGATTTGTTTCTCAATTTTGCAAAATACTACTACTAATTTTGATAGGTTATGCTGTGTCCGACAAAGTTTCCGGTGCCGAATATACTATGGGAAGTGATCCTATCGTGATCGAAGGTCTCACTGATCGTGTCTATACTCCTGCAGTAGGAAAGGATGTTGTCGACGTAGTGGTCGGTGTTGGAGAGGGAAAAGYTATCAAGGTTACAGCTTCAGGAAAATGCAGCGACAAAGATGTTCCCGTTTCTTGCGTTGTATGGAACCCAAATAARGAAAAAGCCGCCGGCATGTCCGATTTTGGTGACGATCAATATCATGATATGATTTGTGTCGAACCTGGAATTCTAACTGACACCGTAAAAATTGGAATAGGCGAGTCTGCATCGCTGATCCAAACCACAGAGATGCTTTGAAGTTYTAATGTARCTTGAGCRTTATTCAGTTTTCTAGCTTCCAAGCCTTAACGACTGAATAATTCCATCTTAGCCGTAAAACATCCCATAGCATTTGGAGACTAACTTTGACGACGCCACTCTGGGTGACCTTAGAACCTTTCATATCTTCCCACTCAATACTCATTTCATCGATAGGAATATCCAAAAGCGTCGCTCGAAACAAGACTTCCACATCGTGCGACCATCCTTGAAGATGGAGATCTTCGTACAGAGCTTTCGCCGTACCCAATGTCATCAGCTTGTATGCACACTGAGAATCTTTCACACGCAGTCTATTTGTAGTGAGAATTCGAACGCAGGTTTGAAAACCCCAGCGAGTAATACCGCGAGAAGAAAATATGTCATATTGGCGGTTCCCTATCACCAACCCCCGACCGTTGGTAGTGTCTGATTTTGCCGGGATGTRCAACAAATTTTCCAGCTTTTTTATCATGCCGTCTAGATAGATAAGATCTCCGCTGCCATCCGCATCCTGCGTCAGAATCCACGTATTTTTTTCGTAGACATCGTCTCCTCTGGAAGAAAACGTGCGTGCAGTTTCTRATACGTGCTGCATACCTCTACTTAATGCGGCACCCTTCCCTCTATTTTCTTCCATGGCAACGCAATGAATAGGAATTTTTGCGGGAAAGTCGTGGACGACGTCAAGAGTGGTATCTACCGAACCATCGTCTACCACAACAATTTCAAATTCCGTATCGCTGGATAATGATCCAAGCAAAAAATCTTGATAACATTTCAGAGTCGATTCTATACGATCTTCCTCATTATAAGCTGGTATGACAATTACAACCCGATGAGGGGGGTTGGATGTGTTGCCGGTAATTGTTGATGCGATCGCCCAMGAAGATTTTTTCAGCCGAGGCGATGGCGACCGGGGCCAAGAAAGTGATCTCGATGTTGTTGGGCCCCCGAGTATCCAACTAGATGTTCGCTGGAAACCAGCGATGAAACAAAAAAAGACCACGCATTTCAGTTTCATTACGAGCAATATCCGACTCGTCATCCAGATACGGAATATGAACTGCCTTCTCTGTTCCGCGGCCGGTTCGTGGCGGTCGGTCAAAGTACTATCGAAAGCTTTAAGGAAAGTGTACGAGCATGAACCCGTTCGGCCCTTCAACAGCCRTTTGAACCTTCTGATGTTCGTTGAAGCTGGATGTACCGTACGGTGGACGGGGATTAGGGTGATACTGACTGGTGATRCTGACGGGTGATGGCTGACTGCTCTCATGGCGGATTGGACAAGGAACTGTTCGTTTTCGTATTCTGTATTATTCTTCGTGCGGTCACTCAAGACTCGCTACTCACGACTCATTTGTTCCTATGCTATTCTTTCACCTTCTTTCACCTTCTTCGATAATGATTGGCTTGTTCCGTCCAAAATAGGGTGCATGTTTCAAAAAAGATTTCGTCGTAGCTTTTAGACAAGCTCAGTAGAAAAAGTACGTTCGTKCCGTTAAGCTTAGATCGCACAGAAAACAGTGGGAGTTGACACCTTTGATGCCACTTCGTACGTCGATGGAAAGCAGAGAAGACCCGCGCTTCAGTAAGGAACGAGAACTCAAAGGTAWGACGCAAAAGCAGCACGATCAGGCTGCGAAGTGAACCTACAGCAGGATCTCATAATATTCAAACATTGACATCCAAGAAGCAAACTACTATTTAAATAAATACAAAACGATAAAATGGTTCAACATCCAAAGTAAGTGCTTCACGGCACCGATCGAGATCGATGCGGGTGGTATTTGAGGAAGGTCGTTGAGAGGAAGGATCGGAATCGTGGAGAATGGAGTCGAGTCGAGTGGAGTGGAGTCGAATCAGATCGCTCTACTCTTATCTTGGGCAACATCAATGTAACCTTGGTCGGATCATCCCTTCATTATTGTCTCTAATCTTTTCTAATTTTGAATTATATRTATTTACCCTTTTCTAAAACAGAGGTCAGGAACACGAGAAAAAGACACACGGTGTCCCGGAAACTACTGGCACGAAGGCTGGATCTTCGAGTCGGAATATCCAGCGAAAGCATGACCACGTTCATGGGTGAGTTCATCGATCAAATTCAAAACAGCAGTCACGAAGGAAGTAGTCCCATCAATCCTAGTTGTATCTCATGTCGCAATATCCAATTTATTCTTCCCATWTTAATTTTCGAAACCAACAGCAAGGAAAAGAAGCAAGGAGGAGGTGGAATCGGGGGAAAGGGAGACTGGAATCCACTCGACGACGGAAGTCTTTAATGATCTACTGTTCATCCATCGTATCCGTTTCAGCAAACCGATTCAATCCAAATGAACTGAATTTTGGCTTCGACCGTGTTCTACTCACATCATCAACGAGAAAGAACAACGAGTTCTCAAGCTCAATGTCCGCTTTAAAACCATAGTGGCACGGGAATCAATATAGAACAATGAGCAGCATTCGTAATCAACACGGCCATGAGAAAGTTAGATAATACAAACAGAAAAAATATAAAAAGTTCCAGATTTAAAAAGCCACCAAAAACATGACGAAAAACCAACAACATCATTTAGAATTCTACCAAAAAAAAAACAAGCAAAGTAATCAATATTGTCGTAAATTGTATGATTCTGGTTAGTGACTACATCTTTCAATAGATAACTTAATATCAAGTTGGATACCAGTGTTGTCATCACTGGTAGATTTTGGAGAAACAGTAGTAGAACTGGATTATAAACGTCATTAATATGATTTCTGAAAGAGTGGGTAGTACTACCACCATATAAAGTTTGTACTGCCACTGCTACTACACACCATTCTTTCCTTGCTGTCCTGAAGTAATACTACTACAATGACTAGTAGCAGTAGCACCAGTAGCAGTAGCACCACCAGTAGCTATAGTATGCAATGAATAACACAGACTCTGYTATCTTCGTGAAACAAAGATGATTTTACTAATGTACAAATTGCAAGAAAAGCTCAACAGCAGCAGGGATTGCATCGCCCTATCACATTTCGTCAACCAGCCAATAGTAGTAGTAGTATCATCTTCTTTTGCACCACTACTACTAGCACATCCATTTGTTATGACAACTGTACAAGAACAAGAAGAGCACCAGAACTACTATTAGTAGTGCTACTAGTAGTTCAAGTAATTCTACACCTTGAAAGAAGGAAATAAATAAAATATATACTACCAGTAGTATTCCTACTGATATTACAGTGATGAAAGTACAAAAGATCCTTTGTTAAAAACAAGAATACTTTTTGGGTTCGTGCACRAAAATGAATAAATCTTTTCTTCCTCGTTGTTTTTGAGAGGGATGATTGATGATTGACGTGATTTTCTGGATGAGCTTTTTGAGAGAAATGATGATTGATTCGAAGAATGGATCCAAGTTCGGCAGTATGGTTCGCCATATTCTTACGCGACCAATCACAACTTCTTTTTTTGGTGATGGCTTTTTTTCTTTGATTGCTCTCCTGATTGCTTCGATGATTGCCGTTTTCTGAATCGTCATCACCTTTCGGGAACCCGTAGAAGTGTTTTGTACTGTACTTCTTACTGCTGATCAWAGCGGTAGTAATATTTTTTTTTTACGATCCGATTCGCGACCAAACAGTACCTGGTATTGTACGAAGTAATTCTTCGCATCAAGTTCCAAGTACGAGTTACGAGTTTTCGTAATCATGTTAGCAAACTCGTAGCGTGGAACAGTGGGCGTGCTTGGTATTGTACGGTACGTGAAACTGAGCGATGTCAGTGTGTGTGATCTTTTTTGAGTTCTGGTTGTCTGTGTGGTGCGTAACCGTTACACCGTGTGAGGTATTCCTCTCGTCGACTCTCGAATAGACGGCAAAGATCYTCACAATAAACAAAATTCAATCACCAACTCGAAGCATACTACAAGAAGAACAAGCAAGACTCTTCTTGCTAAGACAAACTGAAAATGACCGACTACGCCAAACGCCCARAAATCACCGTTGAGACCATGGTAAGCTTAAATCCAAAATAGCCTATGGCTTTGACACCATTTTCGCTCGGATCGGATTCCGGGATCTAGTCGCGTGGCCACGATGCATGACTTCTACAACCCGRAATTTSAACTGGATATAATGGGTCGCATTATCAGTGGCCATCGAATGGGCTGCATTCGAAATCCAAAAAGCGTCGCATTATTGGAATTTGATGTATTGACGACCAACCGAACAAGAAGCAATTGGTCAGAAGCATTCATGGCCAATGTTTTCATCATTCGCSACTGCTCTATGTTGCCGACGTCTCAGTTCGATTCTACCAGTGAATGGTATCTTTTTTCTTCGTTGCAAATTCGACTCACAGCTTATTCTGGGCGACCAATATTACATCTCAATTTAGGGAAAGGTCCACAATCCAACTGGGCAAGGCGTCAAGGCGGTATCTTCTCAAGTCCAAGCCAAGGCAGAAAAGCTTAGCAAAAAAGCAAACGGAGTGAAAAGCAATGGGGATGAAGCAGCTGMCAACAAGAAACATTCCAACATCCMAACCGCTATCACTGTCAATGAACAGCATGCTACGAAGACAAAGGAGGGGACAGCAAAGCGCAATATCCAACGCAAAAAGACCGATGGCAACTTTGATTCGCGCAACAAAAAGCACGGAGGACACGGCAAGGGCCAATGGAAGGAGGACATCATTTATGACGATGAAATAGAGCCACTGGACGAAAACGATCCACTCTACGACGAAACCGAAGGGAAATATGTTCTGGGGAGTACCGAAGACCCAGAATCTCGCCACTACGATCCAAATGAAGGTCGGGTTGTCTACGGGCCTATGCTGACAYTGTCGGAGTTTAAACTCCAAGTGCATCAAAATCTTGAAGAGTACTTTGACTCGTGTGAYACGGACGAGGTTATTCGTTCCATAGACGAATTGAAGTGCAAAGAGTATCATTCAAACATCGTGAAAAAGGCTGTGTCGATCAGTCTCGACAAGCACCCGAGAGAACGAGAGCTCGTGTCGCGTCTTTTRACGTGTCTTCATCCAACACCGCTTACAGAYAAAGATATGGAAGAGGGGTTCGAAATTCTTCTTGATTCTTTGGATGATTTGACGACAGACGTCCCGGATGCAAAAGTGAGTGAAAGATTGTAGGTCTCTTAGCATTGCACTAGTATTTCCGCCTTTTGTTTGCTCACACCCATCAATCGTCTCCRTTTACCACCACCTTCATGGTAYAGACAATGGTTGCCAATTTTTTGGCTCGAGCTGTTGTAGATGAGGTGTTACCTCCTGCATTCCTTTCCGAACAAAACAACAAACGGGCGGGCGACATCGTRATCGAGAAATCCATTTCTTTGTTATCCAGAGAGCACTGCACAGCTCGTCTAGAACGAGTATGGGGCCCCGGGGATGGCCGCCCTGTCGCCGAACTCAAAGTTGAAATGGATCAAATGCTTCAAGAATACTTATTGAGTCGAGAACTCGACGAGTGCGCTCGCTGCGTCAAGGAACTCGACACAGACCATTACATGCATGAACTCGTCAAGCGAGGTGTCAAAATTGCGATGGAGGAAGACGGAAAGGATTTRACCACACAGCACGAAAAATCTGCGATTGATGCCATGGCTGCACTTTTTGGCTTTTTAGTCAAGAACGCCATCATCTCGGAGCACCAAGTATCTAAGGGGGTTGACCGCCTCCACCGTGTGTTAGACGATTTRAAACTGGACGTCCCAGCAGCACCAACCCTATTGAAAGATTTTGAAGAAATTTTGAAGGAGGAAATACCCACTATCGCACTCGACGAAGCAACGGAGTAGATTGGTATTATAAGTTTAGTGGTCACATGAGACCACCCATTAGGATTACTCAGATCTGTCCTGAAWTTTCTAGTATTCGATATTCCATAAACATAAAACCACAACCATTTGCGCAATCACCATACAAAAGAATTCCAGCGCTATATTTGCTATTCTTGCGTTTCTCTTACAAAATCCAAATCGATTATCAAATGTTCCAAGCATTGCGTACAGTTTCTTGATGATCCCATGCCAATTCAAGAGCCGTGCTCTCAWTTAAGTTTTAYGTTGACCGCGACTTCATCGAAAAATCAAATAYAACGYAYAATTTACATCACCACTGCTAGATGAACACCTCCRMCAAGATTATTCTTTACGGTGTGTGTCTACGAATGATGGTCATGGTTCAGATTGAGATACAACGCTGCCATTGTCCATRGTAGTCRTACCAATRATCCCTAGTAAAATCTCTTTATTCTTTGAAAGCTTAAATCGTTCCTAAAAGAYGGTGGTTGTGCATTGCATAYTCGTGTTAAGATTTTTGTGCTTGTTCCTTTAATCTTCTTCCATTCCTTCCTCGTCGTCATCGTCTTCTTCTTCCTCTTCTAATTGCTCCTTGGCCCATTCCTCTGCAGATTTCAACAAGTCTTTTGGAACACCCTTGTGGGTCCAGTTGGTAGCTTCGCAAATCCAGCTCACTTCTATCTCGATGGGCTTGGCATCCTTTTGYTCCTGGTGCAAGAGGTGAAGGATTCTCAAGATTTGCTTGACGGCTTCCTCCGCCGGGATCGGCGTCTTGTGTAAATTGAGTTTTTCCAGTTCCGTCTTGGCGGCTTGCTTGCCCTTGCCGGTAGCCACRCCGTAATACTTGTAAGGGGCTCCGTTGGGCTCTAGCAGTTGCAGGGAGCATTCCTTCGTATCGGGATCGTATCCAGCCAGGACGACCGCCGCTCCRAAGGGACGAAGAGCRCCGTGCAGCGTAAAGTAATGCGCATATTGACCGAGTCGATCTCCCAAGACCTCGGGGGGGATCTTGCTTCCGTATTGCTCCTCCCAGTCGGCGGCCTCTTCCACAGTGCGTTGGACCAGGACCCGGGCGTCGGGAAGGAAGCCCGTCGAGGCGCAGCCCACGTGGGTGTCGCACGTGTGAATTCGCTTGTAGGAACCCGTCGTGGCCACCACCATTTTGTGATTGATGGGTTTTGCGCATCCCAGAACAACTCCATCGCTGCACTTGATGCCCAGAACGGGGCCGGCATTTTCGACGGCCTTGGTCGCATACTCAACTTGAAAGATCCGACCATCGGGCGAGAAGGTCGCTGACGAAAGATCGTAACCCGAACCTGAAGATGCCATCTTTTGTCTATACTACTGGAATTTTACGATTATGCAATTATCGAATGTCTAGTTTGATTTGGGAGAGGGTTGGTTTGTTTGCATTGATAGATCAGAGAGCAAGTGGGATAGGCCAGATCGCATTTGGACAAAGGTTTTTTAACTTGGCACGAAATGAAGGACAAACAGGTGCTGTACTCGTACCAAGTAATCGATGCCTCTCGAACTGTCTCGAACCTGTAAAGCAACGGAGCTGAGCTAGCTTTATTTTCAAATTATTGCGAAATCTGTTGGCTCAAAATTTTTGGTCTCGCTCGATACTACTGTAACAACTATATGTATAGTATGTATGGTACATAACTATGGCCTATGGTAGAATGAACGCGATGTACGAGTAGTACTTCACCACATTCACACTCCGAAACAACTCTTGGGACACTCACTGTAATGTACTTTACGGTACGGGATACGCCATGAAGCTGATTAGCGGGATTGAGAAGCGGAAGGCACGACTGAGAAAGCAGGGGAGACGAGCCGAAAAACGAAAAATAATAATGTGTGACGTGTTGTCTCGGAAAAGTGAAGAMGAGTGAACAACMTKCCGTAGTAGCGCTTGTCATCGGTATCGGAACGTTAGTAGTCAGCGTAACAAATGCTGGGGTGTTATTCAAATGGAAAAGTACGAGTACGTTACTTCTATTACGTAGTCGTAGATTACTGGTAGCCTCTGTAGAAGTAAGGCAGGTATGGTACGATGAGGCGCGGTAGAATAGAACGCTTTCTCTCCACCATAGACGTTGTCGAGAAGAGTGAATCTTCACACTTGTGACTCCTTTCAACAGATCATCTGGCATCTCCACTTTTTCCATATTACAAACTGGATTTCAGATATCAACAATGGTTTTCTCAAGCAAAGCGTTGCATCTTTTGGCAGTAGCATCGACGGCGAATGCATTCGTTTTAAAAAAACACGGGCTTGCGGCGGTAGAGCGAAGAGCCTTGCCGGCGTCGTCTGTTGCTCCGTTGGCCGCGAGTTCCTATGTAGACGATGAAAAAGAGGAGGACAAAGCTGATTCACCGATGAGTGCTCCCGCTTATGACTACCTCGAAGATTCCTCAGTGAAAGAGCCCGAGTCATACCTGGACGACATGGCGAGCAGCTCAGACAGGGGCGTCAGCAGCAAAAGCGACGAYGAAAAAAGCACGGAATCTCGCTCTAGTGGATACCTCAATGACATGGCAGCAGAAGACGTGAGTACAAACACTTCTGAACCAGAAGATGAGCCGGAAGATGTCGACACTAAGGGAGAAAGTGACAACACTTCATTGGTAGARGCCAACGAGAAAAACCTGGCCGCTCTGCTGAGAATCGCGGCATCGACCGGAAGGGGAGAATTCGCCGACTCCGATCAAAAGGAGAGAGCAGCAGAGCTCATTGCTTCCTTGGAGTCAAACAATCCTACCCCAGAGCCAACCAATAGTCCCATGATCAACGGTCGTTGGGAACTCGTCTACTCATCTACACAGCTCTTCCGCAGCTCCCCGTTTTTCATGGCTGGTCGTGCTGTCTGTAGCACGCAAGACCAAGCCGATCAATATGACTGGTTTTGTGACATGCACCGAAAGGCCTTGGCTATCAGCAACATTGGAACGGTGCGACAAGTCATCTCCCCGACCCTCATGATCTCTGAGTTCGAGGTCAAAGTTGGAGCCGTTCCTTTTCTCAACGATTTCACCCCGTTTTCCTATTCGGGGGGCCTTCCGTTCACGATCGATGGCTCGATCGTCAGCCAGGCAGATATCACGCCTACTGACGACGGAAAMGCATGGGAGCTGTTGATGGACACGGTGCAAATCAAGGGATCCAATATTCCAGGACTGCGAACTATTCTGGACAATGGTCTGCAGCTACAAAGCCGAGGACTCGGCTCCTTCTTAGAGAGTAATTTGGATGGATACACGAATCCGAGACCCATATTTGAAACCACCTTTTTATCGGACACAATTCGTATCAGTCGGGAACAGGATGGAAAGGTTTTTGTTTATGCGAAGGAGTCGGAAGAGCTAGACCCCACTGATTATAGCGACGTTGAGGCYGATCTTGGCACACTCAACCTCTTGGGAGGCTTCAATGACGCGATTACAAAGTTCTACATTTAATCAGGACGATAAATGAGAACGAAAGCACGTGCGCCTTGCTTTAAATTTCACAAACTAAAGGAGATTGCTCCTTTCTCAAAAACATATAGAACATGCAATTTACACCTCATTCAATCAGTGTGGATTTTTTAATTCAGTCTWCGATACTTTCAATTAAAGCAGAATGACTGCCTGAGTATGTTCATATACCAAAGGTGCCTCCAATCGAAATGCGACTCAGCAATCTTAACACCTCCTGCATGATAGTCTGTACATGAGTTTTCTAAGTGAGACACCGTCTTTTCATTGTCTTTCATAGCTGAAGAGAAAAAGAAAATATTTGTAACGGTCGCCGATGTTATTCATCGGCAGTAGGTTTCACAAGACTTGATCATGTCATTATTTGCTATTCTTTCTTTCCTGTCTTCTTTTTCCTGCCAAACGTGAAAGAACATTTCTTAGACCGAATTCGATTATCGGTACATACCATCATGTCACCTCACAATACTGACTTTTTCAAGTGACAGCGATTTCATTCTGACCAATTGCAGAGAGGTAATACTCTTTGCTCTTAATGACACTGTTCCCAATTTACCCTGTTCACGAAAAGATAATATTTTGAATTTCAAGAAAAATCCGAAATGAGTCTTTTTCTTTTTTTTCAATACGCGTCTTACAAGAGTACGGTACAAGACATAGGTAGAATTTATAAAGTGCAACACGAGTCCATATTTATCATCTTCCTATTTCTTGCGAATTTTTTGCTAAACTGCGCATTCTATGATAGATACAGTAAAATAACGTCAAAATAAGCGCAATGAAATTACAAAAAAAAACTCCTCCACGTCACTTTCTAGGTTTTCTTCCTACTAAATATTATTTGTGGTTTGGAATCGTTTCAGGGTTGGATCACGAGTAGCAACATCCCAAGACGAAAAAATCATCCAATCTCCGGTGTCATCCATGGCAATCTGCCATCTCATATTCCGTATATCAATAGTTTACAATAAATCCAAAATAGTCAACAAACAAACATCAATGATGGGCTTCAGCAAATCAACAATCGTCCTGCTTGGGACTTGCTATTCCGGCGCTGTATTCTCGGCGACCGCATTTTCTGCTGTCGATGCTTCGTCTTCGGTGGCCTCTGCATCCCTTGACACCATCTGGAACGAAGTTCCGGAAGGACCACCTGATGCCATTTTGGGAATTGCCCAGGCCTTCCGAGCCGCTCCAGAGGAGCACAAGGTGAATGTATGTGTTGGGGCGTACCGTGATACCAAAGGGCTGCCTTGGGTACTTCCAAGTGTGCGAAAAGCCGAAGAAATGATGCTTCAAGACGACAAAGAAAACAAAGAATACCTGCCAATCGATGGAGACCAAGCCTACGTTGAAAAGGCCCTTAAATTCGCATACGGTGCCAATGCACCTCTCGAGAGAATTGCGGGGGTCCAAACACTCAGTGGAACCGGAGCTTGCCGAATTGGAGGCCAATTCCTCGCCGATTTTTACCCTAACAAGAATATTTATGTTCCCGACCGTACGTACGCTTGAGTTGTACAGCGATGCAATGCAGCCAACGCTTCGCAATGGTTGGATAATCGAGTCGAGAACTAACGATTTTCTTTAAATTTTCTCACTCTAAAATACGCAAATTTGTAAACTCGCAGCAACCTGGGGAAACCACCACAAAATCTTCGCAGCCTGCGGTTTGAACGTCAACACATACCGCTACTACGATCGTTCGACGAACCGTCTCAATTTGGAGGGAATGCTAAAGGATTTTGAGGACGCCCCCGATGGTTCGATCTTGCTGCTCCATGCATGTGCACACAATCCCACCGGTTGTGATCCTACCGACGAGCAGTGGTCGAAACTGTTGGACGTGATCAAAGCAAAGGGACACCTGATCTTCTTCGACAGCGCCTACCAGGGCTTCGCTTCTGGTGACGCCGAAGCCGATGCCAAGGCGTTGCGACGCGTGGTCGACGCCGGCTTTCCAGTTCTTTTGGCGCAATCGTTCGCGAAAAACTTTGGCTTGTACGGTGAAAGATGCGGAACACTTAGCGTCGTGGCCAAAGATGCCGCTCAAAAGGATATTTTGATGAGCCAGTTGAAGTGCATCATCCGCCCAATGTACAGCAGTCCACCCAAGCACGGGTCTTCGATTGTCAGAACCGTCTTGTCTGATGAAAAACTGACGGAGCAGTACTACGACGAATGCGCTAGCATGGCCGAACGAATCAATTCCATGAGATCTCGACTGGTCGAAACTTTGGCGGAGGTCGGTAGCASGCACGATTGGTCCCATGTTGCAGAACAAATCGGTATGTTTGCCTACACCGGAATGAACTCGGACATGTGCGACGAGCTCACCGATAAGTACGCAATCTACCTCACGCGTGACGGGCGCATCAGTATTGCGGGATTGAACGACGGCAACTTGGAATATGTCGCCAAGGCTATCCATGCCGTCACAGATGGCAAGAAAATCACACAATAAGCAGGCTTCACTTTAGGTCTATAAAAATAGATCAATTCTTTTTATCTTCACTGTGTTATTGAGTATCATCATCGTTTTCTTTAAACCAGAAAGTTTATCGAAAAACAAGAATTTTAAGATGATGAAAATCAAAAATCGACTCAGTTGTCGTGGTGTGTTCGTGACTGAATTCTAWACGAAGTTTGAGCGGGATATCTTTCGCGATTGAGATCTTCGAAAACTTTGATACAGTACCAAATACCTACTGTACGATACTACTGTACTGTACGGTACAGCACTTAAAATGACGTCTCCGAAATCTGACATGCAGTATTGTATTTCGTAATACTTCTCATTCGGCATTATCAGCAGAACATTACTTCGTACTGTATTGTAGAAATAAAACATCATCATGCGACCGATCAAGTTAGTGCTTTCCCTCTTCGCATTGAATCCCGAAGACGCTGTCTCTGCAATGTCTGGGGTGAACACATCAGCCTGTCGATCCAATTCTACCCACATCGTCTGGAAAACAGTTTCKCGGCCCTCTCGGATCCACGGAGACCCGGAACGGCGGGCGACTCASRAGCGACGYATCGAGTCGTCCTCKACCGACAAAGACCACGCCGGCGCAACGACGGCATACCATTGCTCCGTTCAAACACGCAAAGATGCCGAAGCATCGTGCATGTTGTTCCTTAGGAACAACGTGATGCCATTCGACGAACMATTCCGAGAAACGATGGGATTCCCACTYGGCGACGACGACAATCCCAACGCGGACGGGCTGGCCACCGGCCTCGTGGAACCAACCATTTCACTAGCGCTCGACGCCAAAGTTCTATACAAGTGGACCGATGATCTGCCCCCGGAGATATTCATGGAGTACGTCCTGAACTACGCAAACCTAAACGAGGCGCGAACCAACTGGCGTCCGCTGTTGGTCGACGCCCTGAAATTCAATGAGAGCGAATTGTATCGTAGTTCTCTGAGAACAACGGCACCGGCCACCGCAACGGGTACGGTAGCGACCTGGGAGAGCACCCTGAATGTCACGTCGGTAACCACCTGGGTCAACACCAACCTATGGAACCGGTTGGGACGAGAAGGAGCACCGATCTACTTCAAGAGTTCTCAAACGCCCCTGGTCTTTGACCCCATGTCCGTGGTGGCCTTTGGATATGCCAGCTGTACGGGGACATCGATCCTGTTTTGCAACGCGCTGCGTGCCGTGGGAGTTCCGGCCCGGGTGGTGGGCACCCCCGCCTGGTACGGCAACCGGACCCAGGGCAACCACAACTGGGTCGAGGTCTATGTGCCCGATGCCGGTAGCGGCGGTGCCGGCGAATGGAAATTCCTGGAGCCCTCGCCGGCGCTGCCGAGCGTGGACACCCTGGACGGCGATCCCTGCGGCCGGTGGTTYTGCGATCCCGGTCGGTACCCTTCCAGCAGGGTGTACGCCGCGAGATTGTGGTCGGGAGAGGGGGAATCGCCACCGGCCGTCCATTTCCCGCTGGCCTGGGAGTGGGATTGCCACGGTGTGCCGGCAGAGGAGCGAACCGATTACTATGCTAGGGTTTGCGGATCGTGTAGCGAGTGACGGACGATGCATGACGGACAAGCACCGGGGCTTTCGCAAGAAGGAATAGAAGAATCCATCGCGAGATTGAGCTAATGATGAATTTTTGTCAACCCAGCCCCCTTGCTTTTGGTATCCTTTTTTTCGAGCTTCCATCTTGTGGATGTACCAGCGGCTCCGACTGCTTGGCCTAAAGGAAATGATGGATCTGCAGATAAATCGTAGCAAGCACTAGCAGATCGAATTCATCGATCACAGTCGCACTGATTAGGTAGGCCTGCCATCTATTTCGTTGCTTAATTACTACTAGTTGGTTTCGCTAGGTGGGCATTTTGATGGATGGATTACTCGTTTCTCTCTTTGATTTATTCGTACACGGCGCGAAAGCTGGACTTGACCGCCCCAAAGACCTCCCTCGTGCTCCGGACGGTGTTGCCGTGCTCGTCCATCTGGTACATCTGAGGGTTGCACCCCAGGTCCCGCAGGGCCGCGTAGGCTTCCTCCGCGCTCGCCGGGTGCCTCCCCGCGATGGTCTGTAGAACGTCCTCCGCACCGGCGTCCAGGAGCTTGGCGACGTCCTCCCCGTGGTCCGCCCGGGCCAGCCGGCTGGCGATGTTCCGGACGGCGAGGCACCCCTGCCGCTGCAGGGCGACCGTGTCCGGAAAGACCCGCATGGCCCGGAAGACCAGGACGTGACCGCCCTCCTCGACGGTGGCGTGGGCGTTCTGCGGCTGCCGGAGTGCCATGGCCGCCAGGATCCCGCAGGCGTGTTCCTGCAGGGCGGCGTGGCCCCTCGTGGTCCTCCGGCCCGGGGCCTCGTCGAGGTAGTGCTGCATGACCCGGAGAATCGAGTGCAGGGACGACCGGCAGATCGTCGTCTTGACCTCGTCGTTCGCGCACAGGTTGCGCACCAGCCCCAGGGCGGCGGTGGCKAGGCCCAGCTTSGAGATAGACCGCGTGGCCTCTGCTCCTTCCACGGGGGCCGCCGTGGCCACCTCCACGACGACCTCCAGGGCGTCGCGGACGGTGTCCAGGATGCCGAGGGCCACCATGTTCTGGACAATGTCGTTGTCGATGGCCATGGCGCGGAGGGCGKYAAGCGATTCGCACAGGAGTTCCTGCGATGCGTTCGCGGAGCTCGGGACAGCCCCGGCACCGGCGTCGCTCTCTTCTCCGGCTTGTTCCTGCTGCCGCAGGGCCCGCAGGGATTCCCTCGCGATCCTGTGCAGCCTCGGGACAAAGCCCGCCCTRTGGAATTCCTTCACGTTGGCGTGGGCCGAGGAAACGACCGGGGCTCCGCCCGTCTGGGGTGCCTCGGGGGTGCAGGCGGAGGCGTCCCGCGCCGAGGAGTCCGCCAGCGSCTGGAACCTGCTCAGGACCGCCACCAGCCGGCAGGTTTCGCGGGCCCTTGCGAACGAGGAGGAGGCCGGGTCCGCGGGTCCGGTGGGGRCAAGCGGKTCGTCCGGTGGGAGCAGCAGCGGCAGCAGCAGMCGCTCGAGACCGGTCTTGCCCTCCCCGCCGCGCAGGAGGCCGGCCTTGACAAAGGCTTTCTTGTTGTCCTCGCAGCCGTTGCAGAGGCTCCGCGCCAATCGGACGAGCGCCAGGGGAATCTCGCTGTCCCCGCCGCCTTTGCCCGACCTTTCCAACATCCCGAACCACTCGCTGCCGGGGCTTGAACCACTATTGTTGTCGCTGTCGCAATCTTTTGCCTCGAACCAAAAGGGTGCCACGACGTGTTTCACGTCACGCGCCAGGGGGTGGAGGGACAGCGAAGAGTCGGGGAGGAGCGCCACCACAAARCCGACCAGCAGTTTCCGGCGTTCGTCTCCGTCGCCGACCTTCTCCACGAGCTTTGGCCACAATTTGTTCTGGAGCAGGAGGAACCAGAGCGATAGCAGCCTCGTTCGGTAGGTTTCGGTGTCGTTGTTGTCGCTRTTATCGTTGCTGCTCGAGTTCTCCCCCGATTCCGTCGGTCCCTCCCGCTGCTTCCGGTGCAATCCACCGAGAATCGACGTGGCCGCTACTAGATCCGGGGGTTCCGCGTCCAGATTTTCCATGAACCGCTCGTGCATCTCCCGGAAGCGCTTTCCCTCCGGAGAAGATGGATGGGTCAGAGAGAGGTGCTCGAGGCGGTGGTGTTCCTTGGAAGGATTGCCGGTTTGCGATTCGGACTGCTGCAGGAACTCACCGATCGTTTCCGCCACGGCTTCCTCGTCGGTGTACTCAAAGACGTCCTGGTTTTCGAGAAGGGTTTCGTCGAAGAGGCTCTGGGATATCATCGTGGAAGGGCACTTYTGTATGTGTGGTTTTTATCGAACAACGAAGGTATGATTGGGTGCCGTGCGAATACAGGACTACTCGGATAGAAGGTTGGCGGCTGCTATTGCAAAAGTCTCGTGCTGTGTCTGGTACGAAAACGCTGGTTCTGTGTCGCTGCGGGTCGCCTCCGGTCCCAATGCTTCCTTGGTACTTCTACGACTTTTCCGACAATTGTATTGCTCGGGATGTGATGGTACGAGTAAGGAGGTTTTTGTTTCTCACTTCGAGAAACWAAAGCAATGACAGCTGGGAATTTTCGCGGTAGTGGCTACAGGTACGCTCCATATGTATGTATCGTATCCTTTTACCGTACAGTAGCAGACGTTRCACCATGCTGCGGACATCTCGTGACAGAAAAGCACAAGTCTACCGTACATGTAAATAAATATTGAATGCATACTTTACCGTACGTACGCAGGACAATACCCTCGTACGAGGACGCAACAAGTACGACTCACTTTCAAGATACGYGCCGCATCGTACCGTTCCGAATACCAAAATGCTACCGGAATCCTACCTACGGTTACTGTACATTTTAACGAGCCGCGATGAAACGCGAGAGTGAGTCAGTCGGTTGCTCTTTCAAAAGAGATGCACGGTCGTGCGAAAAGTTCCGATTATTTAGAYGATGTCTAAYGTACGGTACTCGTACCCCAAGTACGAGTACGACCTGTATGCACGAGATGAGTTTGTACCTTAGGAGTTCGTTTGACTCATCGAGATGAACCTGCGAAATTAGTTCTGCCGATTTTCAGTTTGTTTCATAACAAACGTTAYATACGGCACAGGTACCATACGGTACGACCGAAAAACCGGAATAYAGTTTCYATAACAAATACAATTTCACTGAACAGTACCGTAGACGGCAATCCAACCGCGTCGTTCCRGCCAGACCACCACCACCAACTATTTTCTTYCGAACACCACTAAGAACCAACCGCGCTGTACCATGGCCCTTGCGTCCCGCCGCCGCGACCAAGGGGGTTCCCTCCCGGTCGGTCTCGCCCTCGCGCAGAGGCTGCTCCTGACCGCCGGGCTAGGGCTTCTGTGCGGGGGAGCCGCCCCTGGCCATCGCCRTCGGGCCCTGGCCCTGGCCCTCGAACAGGGCGCAGGGGGGACGCTTTCCTGGGAGGAACGAGCGGCCTTTCCCGGGGGCGSTCGCCACCACCCCATCACCTTTGCGAACGAGACACACGGCTTTGTCCTGTCCGGATCGACCCAGACGGAAACCTACACGTCCGACTTTTGGGCCTACGAGGCAGCCACGGACAAGTGGACCAACCTGACCGGGACGGACGCGGCCTTTCCTGGAGCCCCCCGGAGCTTCGGGTACGGGGTGGCCTCGACGATGGACTGTGGAAACACCAAGGCCTACGTGGGACTCGGGGCCGGGGAAAACTACCAGCGCTTCACCGATTTCTGGGAGTTTGACATGGTGACCCACGCCTGGAGGGAGYTGGCGAGCTTCCCCGGGTTGGGCCGGAGGCACCCGGCAATGAACTTTATCGAACCAGTGGGGGAAATCCACGTCGGCCTCGGCGACGGCCTCCTCGGCAACTACAAGGACTACTGGGCCTACTCGATCGAAACCGACGAGTGGAGGCAGCTCGAGGACTTTCCCTCCTCCGAGCGGCACCACCCCTTTTACTTTGCGATCGATGCGAACTCTTACCTCGGGCTTGGCCATTCCAAYGGGTACGACCCCTTCATCGAGCGAGACTGGTATCGCTACGACGCCATCGACGGTACCTGGGAACGGGAAGAAGACTTTGCGAGCTACCCGCTTGGGATCCCCGGGGCACCCGGCCCCGGGGCGACCCCCCGGTCCGGCGCCTCCCCCGTCACGACAGAAGCCCGCGTGGCGGGGACCCAGTTTTCCGTGGCCGGGTCCTGCGACGCCGACCTCGCCCTGGGTTTTGTCCTTAGCGGGGACGGGGACGACCACCGCGCGATGCCCACGGGGGAGTTCCACGTCTTTGATCCCTCCTCCTCGGAGTGGCACGAGCTCCCGCCCCACCCGGGATCCTCRCGGTGGGCTCCYGGGTCTTTTGTCCTCCGTGGAACCACCAGGGCCTACCTTGTTGGGGGTTACGACCGGAACGAACGCATCCTGTACTCGGACCTGTGGACGATCGATCTGGAGCCCCTCTTTGTGGGGGCCAACGCCACGGGRACCTTTGCTGATGTCGGCCTTGACGATGTTGACTACGGCTACAAATCGCTCCAACCAAGCGAGCCGGAACGGTTGGRAACGGAATACGGCTACGGCTTCGCCGGCMYGTCGTCCCCCGCCGTAGCCACGGGCGKAGCCCGGGAGTGGAGCCTTTCTTGCGGGCTCGCCGTGTCGTCGTCACTTCTGTTACTRYTGTGGGCCCCACTTGCATGAGGKCCYGGCTCGTTTCGTTGCGACGCGCACGACGGCATAAAATAATAATAAAACTAGTATCGAGTCGAAGACCCGCGAGTTAAGAAAACTATTCTTGAAGAATTTGGAAGTGATTCGTACCAAATATTTGTTGCAACTGCTCACTGCATCCCTGATTGATAATAATCGCACCGCAGTGGATTGTTCGTCAAGCTCTCATAGCCATTTCGACCGAACCGACAAAAACTATTATCAGTGCGTGTCAAAACTAACCCACGAAAGTTTGTCTCGAGCCACAACACCCCGACGGAGACCCACAACCCGGTTGCTCAATACACAATGTTATCGATGTCGGCGAGAAAKGTYTCTCGATCCTTTCCACCGGGCGCCACATTGGAGAGCGCCTCGACCTTTTTCAGGGGACCCTGTTCAAACTTGATTTTTTCGCGCACCTTCTCTGGAAACAACGGGGTGAACAGTTTTACCAGGGCACTCACAAGTTTTGGCAGATTGAGCAGGAGGGTTGGTCCGCCCAGTGACGGATACAACTCATTGGCTTGCTTCGAGGAATCGCCGAGGGCCGTGCGAAAGGTAGCGTCGCCACCGATGAGTTTGATTCCGCTCAGATCGTTTACGGTGAGTACATAGGCGAGTTTGTCGTTTTTTACAGACCGATCGTTGGCGGCGAGGGCAATAATTTCCTTCGAATAAAGGAAGAAKGTCACTAAGTCATCGACAGCGATTCTTTCCATCAGGGCGTTGTCGTCGATCTTGCCCGCACGGATGCAGTACAAGATGTCGCCTTTCGAAGATGAGGTGGTCATGCACGTGGTTTGGGTRATGTAATCGTTGATGATACCGGCCTCGGGAGCGGCGGCTCGGATCGGATYGTTGTCCCATCCTCCGCCCGCGGTCGCGGCTTGGTATGCGGTCGTTGCTGCGTCGCACATGGCCTTGCCCTCGCCCTGTCTCCAAGCCAGGGTTTTCTTCAGGTCCTCGATGCCTTTGTCTTCGAGGCAATATCGCAGATAAAATACGTCGTTGCTGTAAGGAACTTGACCAAACTTGTCGTCTCCAACAATCGACTTGGTCTCTTTCTTGAAAGAAGAAATGTCGGCCTCGTATTGTTTGAGCAGGACAGACACCGGTTCTTTGACACCAAATGCGTCTGCCACATGTGCCTTCCGACAAGCAAGAGACGAAAGAAGGGCAACAATGAGTGTTTTGATCGACGACGAAGACATGGTTGTTGTTTTTCAAAGATAGAAAATGCCGTTGAGTACAAGCAATCGAACCAATCTGAAGCAGGAGGGAGGAACTCTTCCTGGAATATAAGAAGATGCCGGGATCGATTTGCGAAAAATGATCCGTTTCCTGCACGTATTCAAGTTGGTGATTTCTGATTTCAGGTAATCTTACCGTACAGT